GACATAAGTCTGTCCTTTACATCTGTGGGCTTTGTCAAATGTATAATGTCATGCACCTGCCATTATAGTATCTCACAGAGGAGTGTCACTGCCCTAAGAACCCCCTGAGATTCACCCATTCCTCCCACCCTGCAAACTTCTAGCAGCCACAGTTCGTTCTGCTGTCTTCTGTTGTGTTGCCTTTTCCAGGACGTCATATATGTGGAATCTTAGGGTATATGGACTTTTCAGACTGGTTTCTTTCACTTAGCCATCGAATAGATAGTTTTTATAAAGTCAGTGTCCAGATTTTCAACTCTGGTATAAACTCTTTATTAATGTTGATCTGGCCAAGAGCAATGCTTTTTTCATAACACTCTTTCTCTTCTACAAGAGAAAAGCACAGCCTTCTTCAGCCCAAATGTTACTATGAAGCATTGTCCTGGGTCATCAAAAATTTAACAATTAAAAATCTAATGCCTTCAATTTTTATTGTAGAGAAGTATGACAAGGTAAACAACTAAAGACTTCTAATTATAAAATACATTGCATAAAAAATCTATGAAGAAATGAGACAGAAATAAAGGTCAAGAAAATAAAATAGTAATATAAAAATTTCAGTTGTCAAAAGAAGTGTTTGTGGGTAATTTACATAATAGTTGTATTAAATTATTATAGATTCAGATGCTATTGTGTATATTTAAAATACACTTATCGTCATTTGATCTTTGATAAGCCTATCAAAAATATAAATTGGGGGGAAGATTCCCTATTGAACAAATGGTGCTGGGAGAATTGGCTGGCAACTACTAGAAGATTGAAACTGGACCCACACCTTTCACCATTAACAAAAATTAACTCTCACTGAATAAAAGATTTAAACTTAAGACATGAAACTATAAAGATTCTTGAAGAGAGTGCCGGAGAAACACTTGAAGAAATTGGCCTAGGAGAATACTTTATGAGGAGGACCCCCAGGGCAATTGAAGCAACACTAGAAATACATTACTCAGATCTGATCAAACTAAAAAGCTTCTGTACAGCCATGAACACAGTAAGTTGGGCAGTGCCTTTGGCTCAGAGGAGTAGGGCGCTGGCCTCATATGCCTGAGGAGGTGGGTTCAAACCCAGCTCCGGCCAAAAACTGCAAAATAAATAAATAAATACATAAATAAATATATAAAAGAACACAGTAAGTAAAGCAAGCAGACAGCCCTCAGAATGGGAGAGGATATTTGCTGGTTATGCTTCTGACAAAGGTTTGATAACGAGAATCCACAGAGAACTGAAACTTATTAATAAGAAAAGAACAAGTGATCCCATCTCAGGGTGGGCAAGGGACTTGAACAGAAGCTTCTCTGAAGAAGATAGGCACGTGACCTATAGACACATGAAAAAATGCTCATCATCTGTACTCATCAAAGAAATACAAATCAAAACCACTTTGAGATATTGTCTAACTCCTGTAAGAGTGACACATATAACAGAATCCCACAACTACAGATGCTGGCATGGATGTGAAGAAAAGGGAACACTTCTGCACTGTTGGTGGGAATGCAGGCTAATACGTTCCCTTTGGAAAGAAATATGGAGAATACTCAGGGATCTAAAAGTAGACCTGCCATTTGATCCTGCAATTCCTCTCCTAGGTGTATATCCAAAAGACCAAAAATCACTTTATAACAAAGATATTTGCACCAGATTGTTCATTGCAGCTCAATTCATAATAGCCAAGTCACGGAAGAATCCCAAGTACCCATCGACCCATGAATGGATTAATAAATTGTGGTATATGTATACCATGGAATATTACGCAGCCTAAAAAAAGATGGAGACTTTACCTCTTTTATGTTTACATGGATGGAACTAGAACATATCCTACTTAGTAAAGTATCTCAAGAATGGAAGGAAAAATATCCCATGTACTCAATACTACAATGAAACTAATTTATAATCACTCACACTTTCATATGAAGAATAGGTTACAACTGTGGCCCAAGATGAAGAAGGGAGAAAGGGGGGATGGGAAGGGAGGGGAGGAGTCAGATCAAGGGAAGGTGTTAGTATAGAGTATAAATGTCCTAACACAGTAAGTAAATGGGATGAGGTATATATTAACCATTGTGATGTAAGTGTTCCTAATTCTATATGAAATCAGCACATTGTACCCCATAAATGTATTAATGTATACATGTTCTATGTGTTTATGATTTAATAAAAAATAAAAAAATAAAGTAAGTTATATGACTTTTATTTTTAAATGTCAACATTTCCAGTAGAGTAGAAATTTAATTTATTATTATTTTTTTTTGCAGTTTTTGGCTGGGGCCGGGTTCGAACCCATCTCCTCCAGTGTATAGGGCCAGCACCCTACTCTTTGAGCCACAGTCTCCACCCACTTTATTTATTTATTTTTTTACTGAGACAAAGTCTCACTCTGTTGCCCAAGCTAGAGTGTGATGGCATCAGCCTAGCTCATAGCAACTTGAAACTGCTGGTCTCACAAGGATCCTGCTGCCTCAGCTGCCTAATTAGCTAGGACTATAGGTACCTGCCAGTATACATGGCTAAGTTTTTTATTTTTAGTAGAGACTGGGTCTTGCTCTTGCTGAGGCTGGTCGTGAACTCCTGAACTCAAGGGATCATCCCACCTTGGCCTCCCAGACTGCTAGAATCATAGACATGAGCCATGAGATCCAGCCTAGAAATTTAATTATTTGCATGTACCAATACATATTTTGTCATAGGTAAAATATTGTAGATGTTAATTTGATAATGTGTGAGTGATTACATAGCTTTTCAACATTCTTTTAAGAGTCTGTGAACAAAAACAGTTGAAGAGTAGTAGCTTATCCTACTCCATAAAACCCAACTTTGTTAACCTGGTTTATAAAATCCCTCTTCACCTTCCTCCTGCTAGTCTCTTGTTGTTGTTTTAGCTACTTTCTGCCTTATACTTTGTGCTCCTGCAAGAAAGAGCTGCAGGTATTTGAAGTTCCGTGTATGCTACATGATGAACGCATTGTGCTCTTCCCTGCCTTTGGTGTTCCTCCTCTCTCCTCTTTGCCTCACTGCTTTTCACTCATTCTTGAAGATCCTGAAATCTTGAGTGAGGAAAGACCCAGTTTGCCTCCCTTCATCCGGGCTCGGATGCTCATTTTCCTGCCTCCCTTAAGTACAGTCTTCCAGGGTCCATTGCTGTACGTAATACACTGTTTCGTAATTACCTTTCCCCCTGGAATTAGAGTGTAAGGTCTTTGAGAGTAGAAACCAGGTTTCATCTTTCCCTCCTTGGCACCTAGCTGTGTACCTCTCTTGGCAATATGTTAACTTATTGGACAGATACCAATAAGTTTTGGTATCTTGAGTTAAGCAAGGAAAAACATCTTTCAGTTGTTTGAGAGTTAATTCTTCTATTTTCCTTTTAGTCAATTCTAAAAGGCTACTTTTGGGGCGGCACCTGTGGCTCAATGACTAGGGCCCTGGTCCCATATACCGAGAGTGGCGGGTTCAAACCTGGCCCCAGCCAAATTGCAACAAAAAAAAATAGCCGGGCGTTGTGGCAGGCGCCTGTGGTCCCAGCTACTTGGGAGGCTGAGGTGAGAGAATCACCTAGGCCCAAGAGTTGGAGGTTGCTGTGAGCTGTGTGATGCCACGGCACTCTACTGAGAGAGACAAAGTGAGACTCTGTCTCTAAAAATAAAAATAAAAATAATAAAAGGCTACTTTTGTTTCATGCTCATTATTTTTCTGGCTGTAATATTTCTGCTTACTGGTAAGGTGTCAGTAAACTTTCACATGAAGATGAGCCTAAAAATGAGTTTGAAAACCGTAGTTCCAGCAGAAGGAGCACAGCAACTGCGAATGGTGAGGCAAGGACTCTGGTTTTGGCTCTACCACGAAGTTGCTGTGTGACTCCAGGCAAAGAATAGCCAGCCTGGGGTGGATTTTTGTTATCTGTAAAATAACAGATTATTTCCAAAGTTCTCTTCACCCTTGATTGAATCAAGGGAGGAGATAGTAAAGCAAACAAATGGTTATTCTGGTCAAGCAAAATCCAGAATAGGGCTTGATTTATTTTCTAATCATTCCTACTGTGTGTCACAGGCAGTATATGTAGGTATTCAGGGCTTGACTATGTCACCTGCAAACTGTATACTGTCGTGTCATGGCTTAGATTTTTCCTTAATCTAATGAAATAAAGTAAAATAATCCAAAATGCATGATTGTAAATGTAGAAGTTAATATAGTCTATTGAATCATATAATTTTTGGATTATATTTTACCTTATTTTATAAAATACACAATTTGTCTGATTAATATTATACTTCCCAAGGCATTTCTATCATTCTGGAAGTGAACTTCTGTCAAAACATTTTTTTGTGTGTGACCAATTACTCAGTCACTACAGCCTTCCTCAATAAGAAGTGATATTAAAAACAATTATGAAAGCGCTTTCCTGTGTCTGTTGGTCATTCATAATATGTAGTAATGAAGTTTATGGAGGTTGGTGGACTGACATTTAGGTATAAATGACTTGTATAAGGGGCTTGAGATTGGGTTGTTTAGCCAAAACAAAGGCAGTATTTCCTTACTTGTCTTCCACTCCACTCAATCCCCCTTTTCTCCACCTGCTTGAGGAAAACTGTATTTCTTTAGACAAACCTCTTAATTGCCCTCCTGTGCCTGATTTGGGCCTCAGGAAAGGCCCATAGCATCTGTAAAGCTGGCAGCGAAATGGTATTTCCAGGCAGGCAGGCACAGGGTTGCTGGGTCGGGAGCCAATCCACAGCTTTGTCCGAGCAGCTGAGAACTTTGCCGAGTATTACCACGGTGCTCGGTCACAGACCTGAGCCAGTCAAGCACCGAGCAAGTGTCAGGGTCAATATTTATAGACCACGACGTAGCCGCTGCTCCGAGAGAGAAAACGGGAGAGAAACACCTACGCAGAGGGCAAGCAAAGAAAGACTGTAGTGGAGGGAACTTTAATTTCCAATTTTGTTATTTTTTTTCACCGTCAGGTTCAAACTTCTGCTGAATCATAACTATTTGGCGCTGAGCTATGACAAGGGAGGAAACAAAAAGTTAAACGAGCAAGCCTGCCCTGCGCGAGAAGGTAAGTAGTTAGCAGGTCGGGTTTCCTCGTAAACCCCTTCTCCCTGTTGGGTGCCCTGCGTCAGTGAGCAGAGGGCTGTGTGGCCGGGGACGCTGACAGGGAGGGGCTGCCTGCCGCTCTCCAGCCTTGGTGGTGGCAGTGCAGTCCTGCCACTGCCGCTGCTGAGAATGCTGTGTGCATTCCTGAGACGCCACATGCCTGTGGTGGGAAAGCTCTCAAACACCAGTGTCATGTGGTGTCCCATCCGTAGGTTTCTGTCAAACTCAAGCCTTCTGATTGGTGAATTCCTACTTACTTTTGTATCTGTGAAAGTGTATAGTAGTGAGTGGTCATTGTCTGCGAAGTGTATAGTAGTGAGTGGTCATTGTCTGCGAAG